AAATTTGGAGCCTCCACTATTTCCCACAGTGATTTGTGTTGTGACAAAATATTCTGCTTCCTTTTCCTTCCTTTTTTTTTTTTTTTTTTTTTTTTTGCGGTACGCTGGCCTCTCACTGTTGTGGCCTCTCCCGTTGCGGAGCACAGGCTCAGCGGCCATGGCTCACGGGCCGAGCCGCTCCGCGGCATGTGGGATCTTCCCAGACCGGGGCACGAACCTGTGTCCCCTGAATCGGCAGGCGGACTCTCAACCACTGTGCCACCAGGGAAGCCCCCTTCCATTTTTTAACCATAGCTGTGAAACAGGCCCAGGGAGCCTATGGGAAGGTGCTCATAATAAGGAGCAATTTTTTATATTCTCCCAGTAAATCCATCTGGTTTCTTCCTATTCATGAACAATCTCATACCTCCTACCTACTGGAAGGGTTAGTTCACCAAACAGTAGTCATGGAATATGGCCCAGGGACCAGGATCCCCACGTTTTCATCCCAGCCCTAGTTCTCACTGATTTCATGATAATGGACAATTCAACCAACCTCTCTGGGTCTTAATTTCTTCACTGGAAAAAAAAAGGTTTGGATTTCCCTTTCAGAGCTAAAGTTCTATGATCCAGCAATGTCCAAAGTGTACTCAATGTTGCATATTTCTATAACTCACAAATGAGTCAGGCACTTATAGATGGGTTACACTGGACACTGGTCTGCATGGGGAAAATACAAGAAATTGTGAGGGGAAGGGAGAGTCAGAATAAGGAGGTGGCTGCTGCCAGCTCTTCTGTCTCCTCTCCTGTTGGGGTAATTCTCCCAGCAGCCCCTGTACTACTTGTTTCCTCATTAAAAAGGGAAGAGAACGCTTTAGATTTGGGGCATCCAAGTCAAGATTTCCCAAAGCTCCATGTCTCAAGTCATGGCAGTATCTAAGAATGGAAAAGATAAATTCCATGTATTTCCTTACTAACTCTGATTGGCATCCTCTCTCATTTCTAGGTAAGCCCTGGCACAGGGTCTGTGACATAATGTAGTAGAAAGAGTAAGCTTTGAGATCAGGCAGACAGACCGTGGTTTGAATCTAGACCCTTCCACTCACTAACCCTGGGATCTTGGGCAGTTACTTCTCTGAGCCTCAGTTTCCTTTTCTGTAAAATAGGAATACTGTTCCTTGATCCATAGTTGTTTGAAGATAAACAGCACTGTCTGTCATGCCCCTAGTATCGTATCTACACATCATAGAAACTGAGGTGGTGGTTATGATTTATACGTTAAGTTAAATGATTGATTAACAAGGTTTCTTTTAGTGTTATAAAACTTGTTTGTGAAATAGCCATGAGTCCACACCCTTGGGTTGTATAAACTCTAGGATGGTGTAGGAGTAAGAATCACAGATTTTGAGGGCTTCCACCCTCTCATCTCACAATGGAAGAGTCTGAGGCACACAGAGGGGCAATGACTTGTTCAGCGTCACACCGCCTGTTGGGGCTCAGTCAAATCTAGAACTCTAGACTGCAACCAGAAGCCCTGGGCTCCTTTCTCTGCACTTCACTGACTCTTCTTGAATAATGTTTAGTGCAAAGGGACATAATCTCTGGAATGAACTTGGTAGGGCTTATTTGGGGCATAGGTCAAGTGACCTTGAATAGTCTCCTGCAATGAGTCTCAGAATCAATGGCAGTGGAAGTAGAAAAGTTCTATTAGATCATGGCCATGCAATTTTCTGCTCTTCTGCTTTTTTCCTCTTTCTGGCTCCATTTAGCTCAATTCTAGTGCTAAAAACTCTAATACTGGACAGAGCTTCTGTCAGCCTCACATCTTGGGAAAAGTCTTAATAGCTTGCTAAATTCTAACTTAAAGAAAATGTTCTTGGACAGTCTTTGAATATTTTCATTAATTTATCTGGGTGCCACAATTCTTAATACTTCAGCACTAGATTATGGTTAATTATAAATAAGATTATAATTATAATTATATAATTCCAAATATAAATTTGGAATTATATATATTAATAATTGGAATATATTCCAAATATATATAGTTCCAAATTATAAATAAGATTATGGTTAATTATAAATAAATAATTTTTGTCATATTACAAATGACAAAAATAACATCTCCTTTTCTCCCATTCACTGTCACTGGAATACATTTTGTAGTTACCTTAGAACTGCACACTTACTCAGCTCCACTTTTAGCCAGGTGCCTTTCCCAAAGGTGAGTTTGTTTGCTCCTCCCCATGAGTCCCACAGTGTCCCATGCCTCACAATAAACTCCCTCTGTCACTTCACACCTTTTCCTGACTTACCCTGATGAGTTAGAAAATACTTAAGATTTAATATAGCTATTTGACTTATTCATATGAGAAAAAAGCTCCCCCCACCCCAAATGGAATAAATTCATAGGCTGCTGGTGCCAGGAGGGCAGAGGGGTCATCAACCAGACCTACTTCCCCTTTCATAGAGGAGAAAACTGAGGCCTAGAGGCAAGGGATCTGCTCCAAGTTACACTGCTAGTTGGTAGCAGAGACAAAAACACGGGTCTGTTTGATTCTCAATCTAGTATTTTTTCCTTCTCCACCACACACTGAATGTACTGTGTTGCTTACTATATTCACTTCTTCCCTTTGGCCGGGAAACTTGATTTTTCTGGGTATTTGATTTCAATTAAACAAGCACTTACTCTGTAAAAGGACCATATTAGACACTTCATGGTATATAACAGGAACCTCTGCTCTTAAGGATCTTTCAATTTTAATAGGCAGATCTTCTCAGTAATGAAAGAATTCTGTAGCTGTATGTGTCACAGATTGTCCAAGACTCCTCAGCTAGATTGGGGATATGGGGGGAAAAGGAATGGGAGGGATGCCTGGGGTGAGGCTACAGTCTAGTCTTTTAACAGGAAGCCAGGCTATTTCTGGAGAAACCAGGTTTGTCTTAATTATCTGGGTATTACTCTGTATTCCATCCTACCTAGCAAATTAGTTCTACTAATTCAACTAATTCAACTTCTAATCCTACTAATCCAACTCTTCTGTTGGTTATTTTCATTTTTCAAAGTGCTCCATGAAGGCTCAACCTTAAATTCATAGGTCAACTGATAAAACAAGGATGATGCATCCACAAGGGTAAAACACAGAAATTACATGTAGAAGTCTTAAACCAGAGAATGAGAAAACAGGAGTGGGATTGGGTCGACATTTACCTGGAGAGACCAGAAGCATAGTCCCCTTTCCAAAAGTAAGTTTGCTGTATCCTGAGTTCACACTATGGCAACCCCCCATACAAAAATGGCCTGCAGTGTTGGGTCTTTCAACCTCTGATCGCTTACGGAAGGGAAAGAAGACCAGCATTTATGGAGAACCTACACATGGCAAGTGGGTTGACAATCGCTATATATCACCTTGCCTTATTTGGGCCGTTAACTGTGCCATGAACTCTGATATTATTGTCCTTATTTTACAAATGGAAAACAGGTGATGTGGGGTTAAGCACACTGAACCAGCACTGCTACACAAGTACCCTGGAGACATGAGACTTTTTGGCATAGGACAGATACATGTTAGGAGGAACTATGAGTGAGGAATGCTTCTCCTCCTTCCTATGAGATTGAGATTGCAGCTGTATTGGGGTTAATTCTCTTGCTAGAACCAGACATTAGACCTCTAGTGACAGTGATGCCCTGAACTCCAGCGTATCCTCCATCACACAATCATTTCCTGAGACATGAAAACATTTTCATCAATCTTCCGGTTGTTCCCTTGATACTCTACTCACCAGCCCTGACCAGCAGTCTTGTCCCGCTCCCAAAGATCCACGTATAGCCTCCACCCTTCCCACAGTGTTTCTTAGTCAGCCAAAAACACCCACAAGCCCACACACCCTTCGCATACCCAAGACTGAGAGATACAGCCCTTTCGCCTATGAAGGGGACCACATCTTAACTTTCTTTTTACATTCCACATAACACACAGGCCATTCAACTCAAATATGGGCATTTATTGTGCAACACTTAAAATGAAGCCTCTCTCTCCTCATTGCTCTGGGTCTGTCACCACCAAAGTTGTGATTTTCAACTCTATGCATCCCGCAGATGTATCTAGTCCTTTTGTCTCCATCACACTTATCAATTTTTAGGTTTCTGCCATAGTGTCTCTCCTAGTTTTAACTTCATTGAGTGACAGCTTCCTGCTCCTACAGTCAACTTATTTTGCAGACTTAGGCCTAGTGGTAGCCTGGTTACTTACTCGAGTCCTATTCTGTCCCCAAAGCCAGGCGTCCTGATTAAAGGGCACCAGCTCTGCTTCAGGTCTGGTAAAAAACACTACTTGCCTTCTCTTTGGTTCTTATGCTCTGCAAATTTACTGTTTTCAATTGGCCTCATGGGTAGTATCTTGGCTTTCTTTTCTATTAAGAAAGAACACAACTTGGATGGAATAAAACTATTATAATGTTAAGGGTTGGATGAGGGATCTTTCTATAATATCTTTATTTAAATCTTCTGAAAATGGCCATAAAAGGCCTATTACATCCCCGTTATGTGCTCCAAATGTCACAATCTGAGAGGCAACAACACAAGTAAGGAGAAGTGCTTAGGAATTTAGACTTACTTGGGGTGACTTGAAGCGTTGTTCCAGTTCCAAAGGTAACCTTTAGGTTACCCCCAGAATTCACACTGCATTTCAGGCCTTTACAGAATGGTTTCCTTTCTGCCATTCTCATGTGGGTGACATGTGAGTCTCGGTACGTCAGTAGAAGAGAGAGTGGTTTTTACCCATGCCTATGGCTACAGATCCACACGAAAATAGCTCTTCTACTAAGAATCTACATATTCTCTTCATGTTGAAAGAATTATACTAGCTGTCCTAGCTTTTTCTTTTTGTTCTGAAAACAAATAATCATGATATTTTAGAGGTGTATAGCATTTACTAGTTTCTAAAATACTTTCATATCCATTAGCTTATTTTATCTTTAAAAAAACTTATGAGGTGAGATGAAATATTTTCATTTTACAGGTGAAGAAATTGTGGCTCAGATGCACCGATCAAGCCAGGATTAGAAGGACAAGCAGTGTTCAGGCAAACTTTGCCTTTTTCATTATGATCCACTCTCTGACTGAGCTGTTTCAGTCTGTTATTTCTGGTTCATCGACACTACTATTTTTCCTCCACAGTTAGATCTTTCTGGCCTCTGTGCCATTACTTTAACATTTCTTTCTATTTCAGAATGCACTTAAATCCACATAAACCATGCATTTCTTGATATCTGGGCCCTACAAATACCGCAGTAAGTTCAATAGGTCTCAGTCACCACATTAAGCCTCCTACTTCAGTGACATATTGTCTACTTACTGGGTTTTATTGATAATCCTGTCCCAGTCCCATAGATGAATGTATTATAAATCACAGCACCGTGCTGCCTGACAAGAATTCCTGAGCTATCTTGATAATAGATTAATGTGATTAGCATGTATCTATCCTCCTTCCTGGGAACTCTGGCTGGGATTTCCCCCTTTTTCTATTATTGAAATAAAAGACTAAGCCATGGAGTTAAGCCTCTGAAAGCCTCTTTTCAGAGCACAATAGAATGGGTGGAGGGGAACGCCTGAGAAGAGTCCAGCTGATGGTCTTTAGACAACTCTGACACATTTCCTTCAAAAATTTCACCAAGTCATCTTGTTTTACCAGCCAAAGCATATCAGCTTTGATTCCCATTTTTTACTTAGGAATCAATTCCTGTACACGAGCTCATTTTACCAGTGGTTAGAAAATTGCTCCTATCCCTGTAGGTAATCTTTCTTTCTTTTATCAGTTTAGTGTGTATTAAAAAATTTGTGAAAATGGGGTGGGACAGGGGTATGGTTGGAGTATTAGACACGAGGGACAGCATCTGTTTTTTTCATTTTGTTTTGATGGCTTTCATCACTAAACCCCAGTACTCCTTGAGTTAAAGAATAAGGAGACATTTAATCATGTGTGCAATGTAAGTCTGCAGGATAAGTTCAGGCATTATGACCAATAATAACCAGGTACTTACTGGAACATACTGATACGGTGGTTCCTTTCCCAAAGACCAACACATTTCCTGTCTGGTAGGCACAGTGAAACGAGGCCCTGCAAATACCCTGATTACCTGTTCACTGCCTCCAATGTGTATATAACTACAAACAATGGACACTTGTATTCTGTCCTTGCCTTTGGCAAGGAACTAACTCAGTGAGCTCTCAGTGTTTGGGAATGCAACAGTAAAGCTCTGTTACTTTGTGAGGAGAGGGTAGATGGGGGTGTGTCCTCCACTTACTCAGTAACTATTCACTGAACACCTCCATGTGTAAGGCACTGTGCTAGGCGCTGGGATAGAGCAGAAAGCTGCTAGGACGCTGTCCCAGTCCTCGTGGCACTTACAGTCTATTGGGAGGCACACAGAAACAAATCCATAGATAATACAATATCAAGTGATGAAAGTGCAGGAATAAATCAGGCTGGATAACAGGCTGTGTTTAAATCAGGCTGTGTTTGGTGGCTCGTTAGAATGGTTGGGCAAGAAGGGTCTCTCTGAGGAGGTGATATTATCTGAAGTGAGATCCGAGCGTGGAGGAATGAATCATCACCTCTATTTACAGATAAGCCAATAGAGGGCCTGAAAGATCAAAGCCTGGCTCCGAATCACACAGTGTCAAGGACGGCCATGGACGCTTAGATCATGCCTTCTCTCTGTTGAAGTACTAGATCTAGTTCTACCATGTAAATTCCTGGTTAGGAAAGACAAAATGAGACAGAGGTTCTTCCAAAGTGACTTTGGGATGTTATCTGGGTAATTGGAAACTGTGGCACTGGCCGTTGAGGCATCCAGGTTGTAAGAGGAGGCCAACTGGAAGAGAAGGTGTTAGCATCTAAGAGTGTTTTTCTGATGGCTTTTCTGATGGAGCTGGCCACTGAGATGGGGAGACTTCTTCCATCCTGTTTCCCTATTAAGTTGGCAAGCAATGCAATCCATTGCCCAGCAAAATGAGCTCTTACATTTATGATGGGGAGGATACAGGGAGAGCTCTGCTCCCCACTAAACCTGAATAAACCAAGGACATTTGGCAGTCCACTTAAATGAACAAAAAAGCCTGTTACGTGTCTCAGTAACTAACTGAATTCAAATTTCATGGCAATACTTACTAAGATTCACCTTTAACGTGGTCCCCCTTCCAAAAACCAGCTTCAGGCTGCTTGAAAACCCCACAGGGATCTATTCCACCACAAAAACCAAAGTGAGCTTCATTTTCAAGCACAGGAATTCTCCCAGGTTCTCTCACTTGGTTGAAACCCAGGTCAGCACCAAGCACATATTTAGGTAAACTCAAGAAAAGTCTTAAACTCATACATTCTTTGGAATGGTAGGAAACCTCCGAAACCATTTCCTACAAGCTCACAACCTCAAGCATTTCTCTCCCAAGTGATCTCAGGTTTTGATGATCTCCAGGGACAGTCTTAGTCACCAATTCTCACGTTCTGTTTTCTCATAACTAGAAAGGTTCACCTTATATCCAAATTCAACCGTTTCTCTGCCATAGCCAAGATCCATGAAGCTTTTTCATCCTCAAGTTTACCCTCAAATGGAATTTTTCATAAAATCTGACTCTCAAAAAAATCACGAATCACCTGACTGCCCATACTTTTCAAAGAGATTTCACATACATTATCTCATGTGAGTCTTACAAAATCCTTTGAGCTAGACAGAGCTGGAATCATAATCTCCATGTCATAGATGAACTGGGGCTTAGAGAGCTTCCCATGGACGCATGGTTGGTGAGTGGCTGAGCAAGATCCATCGTCTTTTGGCCCCGGGTTGAATGCCTTAATGATTTATTTGTACACGTTCACGTATTGATCATATCCCCTTAGCTTTCAAGTATCTCTCCCTTCTTTATTCTCTTCCTTAATGAAAAGGACAATATCGTCAACAACAAAAACAATATCCACCCCCTTCCTCAAAAAAAAATAAATAAATAAATAAAGCACTCTAAACAAACCTCCAGCTCAACTTTTTCAGAGCAATGTCTTTTTAATCCTCACACACTTTCTGTGAGCCGGGAGATAAGAATTACCACTATTTCAGTTGCATTAATTGGGAAAACTGAGGGCCAGAGGAGATAGATCAGAATGATGGTTATAGAGGCTGCAGCCTGATACAGACAGCAATATACTGAACCTTAGAACACATGGGTCCTGGCCCTGCTATTGTGACCACATTCAAATCGCTTAACCACTCTGAATAGAGAGAATCATCGCTTTCCACCTTCCTCTGCCTTGTGGGACAATCAGACAAAAGATGTGAAGAAATAAGGAAAGTGCCTTAATTGTTTTCCTTTTCTTAAGAAGACAGACCCTAAAAAATATCAAGATGGCGATATCCTTTACCCACACTGAATTTGTGCATACCTACGTGCTTATGCATAAGAGCAACACTACACATTTCTAAGGCAAGTTTGAGACAGATTCATGTGCGCCAACACAGCGCATTCAGTTTAAAATTGATGGCTAGGCTCCGGCTTCAATGCTGGAAACAGAACAGTGGCTCAAGAGCTGGTACTCACTCGGCTTGACTAACATCCTGGTTCCTCCTCCAAAGGTTAGCTTGTTCCCCGCAGAGCTGGCCACACAGTGATTTGAGGCCCAGCAAAAGCCACAGGGACCAAGGAAATCACACTCCATAGATGCCTGTCGAAGGCCCTGTCCTATGGCCATGGCAAAGTGGAGGGCTTGTGATGGTTAAGGTAATCCTGTCTCCCAGTGCTGTGCACACTTTGTAGAGATGGAATGCTTGTCCCTGGGCACGTATTTGGGTCTCACCCCTTCATATATTTACTTACTTCTCTGCTTTGGCTGTTTGGACCTGGATCTGTGAGTGAGGATAATAGGTGTCAACCATAAACTCACTCAGGGGCCCATTTGACCATTTGTAACCCACAAAGGAACCTGAGAACAGGAAGCCCTGTAAGCTCAGGGAGACTTCAGGGTCAGGCTGGTCATATATCCAGCGTGGAAATGCTGATGAACTCACCCATACACAGGCATGCACGCCGTTAGCATCTCTATATTCAATTTAGTGCACAGGGAAGAGCCCAAAGAGAGGAAGGATACTTTAGTCTTGGGTCCACCCAGGCCCTCCAAGCTGCTGCGTGCTGTGGATCAGCTTTACTTTCCTTGGTCCAAGTTTCAGAGCCAGACCCCCTCCAGCTATTCTAGAGCCCATTCATTGGTGAGGCTTGTACTAAGGAAACTGGGAGGAGGCTTCTCGGGGAAAGTTTACAGAATATGATGGAGAGGTCATTCCTGATAAGAAAGGAGTTGATGGAGCCTCTGATAGGGAGATGGCTGAGAATCACAGGACTCCAGAAAAATAACCCTGGTAACTCTGTACCTCAATCTGGCATGCCCAGCCTGGGTTGAGGGCCACATCCTTCCCCACGCGTTGGGTGTGGACCAGAGCAGGTGTTTCGGGATGCCTCACACTCTCTAGTGGGGTTGCCCTTCTCCTTTGCCTTTAGTGCGAACACATACAGTCTCCTCTCAGATTCTCAAGTTCCTGAAAGTGACGCTAGGTGGTCTTGACCTTCCTTCCGCTTCCCCATCCCTGTCTAACTAAGAAGGAGGGTCCTCCAGTAGCAGCAATATACATATTCCCTAAGACATTTCCCTAAGTCTTCCCTAAGACTTTCCCTTTAGTCCCTAAAGACTAAGGATATTCATTCATCTCCCTTTCCAATTTCTTCACAGTACTGTTTCCCTGGAGTAGAAAACAACCCACTCACCAGGCTGTACAGTTAGCTGAGTTCCTTTTCCAAAGTAGAGCCTCCCCAGGCCTGAGTCTATCGACACAGTGCTGGGCCCCTTTACATGAACTTGGTCCTAATGTTCCCCATCACTCTCTCCCCTGCCCTGGGGGACAGGGTTGAAAATTCACCTTCATCCTCTTTAAGTGTCTTTAAGTCTTTTTTCTTGTGCAGCCGACAGTCTGAGCGGGACAGTCAGATCTCAGAGGCTATCTCTCAGGGGACAAATGGTCTGGGCTAACAATAGTCTTCCACCAGCAGAGGCCCTCTCCCGTCAGAAAGCAATTACATGGCCTTTTGAGAGTGTTTAAATTGGAAGGAACTTTGCTTCCCTGGCCCTATTTCCCAGTATAAAAGGCTGCTCACTTACTTGGATTGTCATTGTGTTTGGATCCCTTTCCAAAGCTGAACTTGTGAAAACTTTGATAGACTAGTTCTGTCCTCTGCAAAATCACCCCATTTCCCTCATTCAACCTCTGGTCGTCCCTCCAGGCATTTTTTCCTCTTCTTTCTTTTTTTCTTCCTGATATGGCCCTTTATTTTCCCATTTATGGCTCTGGGAGATCATACCCCACTATCTTCTAGGTATAAATATCCCAAATAGGCTTTAGCTGATGAATAATTCAACGACATATTTCTTTGGCTATCAAAATAATAAAAATAGAAGAAACAGGTCTGAGCTCACCTTCTCATCCTCTAGGCTGGAGTCATGAGATCTTAGCGCT